GTTGATTGAAGACTTTACCAACCAACAGTAGAATACAGTCTTCTCAATTATGCAAGGAAGCTTCTCTAGAATAGACAATATACTAGGCCATAAAACAAGCCTCAATAGGTTTAAAAAGATTGAAATCATACAAAGTATGTTCTCCCACCACAATAGAATCACATTAGTTGTTGTGTGCTGTCAAGGTGATTCCAACTCATAGTGACCCCATGTGACAGAGTAGAACTACCCCACAGGGTTTCCTAGGCTGTAACATTTACAAGAGCGATTGCCAGGTCTTTTTCCCAAGAATTATATTAGAAATCGATAAAAGAAGATAATTTAGGAAATTCACAAATATTTGGAAATTAAACAACACACACAAGTGAGTCAAAGAAGACATCACAAAGGAAAAAAGAAAATACTTTGAAATGAATGAAAATGGAAACACAATGTGCCAAAACGTATAGAGTGCAGCTAAGGCAGTATTTAGAGGGAAACTAATAACTGTAAATATCTATATTAAAAAAGAAAGACATTGCTGGTGGCAATGCGGGGTGGTGCAGCCATTGTGGAGGACAGTGTGGTGGCTCCTTGGGAAACTAGAAGTGGAATTGCTGTGTGACCCAGCAGTTCCACTCCTGGGTGTATACCCCGGGGACTTGGGAATGGAGACTCAGGAGAGACTTGTGTGCCAGTGTTCATTGCAGCACTATTCATGGTGGCCAAGGGGTGGAAGAGGCCTGGATGCCTATCGACAGATGAATGGATGGACAGGGTGTGATGCATGTGTGCAGTGGGGTGCTGCTTGGCCAGAGAGGGAGGTGAGGTCTTGATGAGTGCTGCAGTGTGGGCGGAGCTTGAGGACATTGTGCTGAATGAGGTGGGCCGATCACAGGAGGACAGATGTTGCGTGACCTCACTTGTATGGGAAGACAGGAAAAGGCAAATGTATCGAGGCCAAAGTTTATTAGTGGTTACCAGGGTCGGGAGGGAAGGGGAAAGGGGGTTAATGGTGGTGGAAAAATCACATTGATTAAGGGTAGGGTTGCACAGCTGATTATTGTTATTGCTGTCAGTAAGTTGTATACCTGTAAAACGTTGAATTGACGGAAGTTGTGTGATAGATATATTTACAACAACAACAACAAAAAGAGTAGCTGCTGAGGCTGCTTATGTACAACCGGACATCTCGTGGGATTTAGTTCCTTGGTTTGGAGGTTTAGGGTCATGGTTTCATGGGATATCCCAGTTAATTGGCCCAATAACGTGTTCTACCTCCTAGTTCATTGCATAGTGCCTGGGGATCTTAAAAGCTTGCAAGCAGCCATCCAAGGCACAACAATTAGTCTCTATCCACCTGGAGCAACAGAGGAAGAAGGAGAGTCAGGAATAGGGGGAGGATATGGAATGTGTGGCTAATTGCCTCCATGAAGAACTTCCTCCTTTGCCATGAGGCAAGAAGAACTGGATGGTGCCTGGATACCATTACTGAACATTTTGATCAAAGATTCCATGGAAGAATCCTGATCAAAAGGGGAACAATGCAGAAGAGAATTTCAAATTCTCTGGGACTCTAGACTTTCTGGAGCCATGGAGGGTGGATGAACCCCTGAAACCACTGCCCTGAGATAATATTTAAACCTTAAACCAAAAGTATCCCCTGAAGTCTTCTTAAAACCAAACAGTAGTTTAGCTTAACTAGTAAAAAATTTCTGCCTTGAGCATTATGTTCTTTTAAGAACTATCTATGTGGAATCAAACTGACAACAGCAACTTGAAAGATTAGATAGGAACCTTAGGGGGCAGTGAGTTCCTCCCTCATGAACCTTAATTCAAAAGCAATTGCAGCAGCACATTGAAAGGGAACTGCCAGAAATTCAAGCTGGATTCAGAAGAGGACGTGGAACGAACTATATCATTGCTGACGTCAGATGGATCTTGGCTGAAAGCAGAGAATACCAGAAAGATGTTTACCTGTGTTTTATTGACTGTGCAAAGGCATTTGACTGTGTGGATCCTAAAAAATTATGGATAACATTGGGAAGAAAGGGAATTCCAGAACACTTAATTGTGCTCGTATAGAACTTGTACATAGACCAAGAGGCAGTTGTTTGAACAGAACAAGGGAATGCTGGGTTGTTTAACATCAGGGTCAGGGTTGTATCCTTTCACCATACTTATTCAGTCTGTATGCTGAGCAAATAATCTGAGAAGCTGGACTACATGAAGAAGAATGGGGCATCAGGATTGGAGGAAGACTCATTAACAACCTGTGATGTGCAGATGACACAATCTTGCTTGCAGAAAGTGAAGAGGACTTGAAGCGCTTACTGATAAAGATCAAAGACTACAACATTCAGTATGGATTTTATACCTCAACATAAAGAAAACAAAAATCCTTACAACTGGACCAATAAGCAACATGATGATAAATGGAGAAAATATTGAAGTTGTCAAGGATTGCATTTTACTTGGATCCACAATCAACACCCATGGAAGCAGCAGTCGGGAAATCAAACGACATATTGCATTGGGCAAATCTGCTGCAAAAGACCTCTTTAAAGTGTTAAAAAGCAAAGATGCTACTTTGAGGACTAAGGTTCTCCTGACCCAAGCCATGATATTTTCAATCGCCTTACATACCTGTGAAAGCAGGATAATGAATAAGGAACACTAAAGAAGAATTGATGTTTTTGAATTATGATGTTGGTGAAGAATATTGAATATACCATGGAGTGTCAGAAGAATGAACAAATCTGTCCTGAAAGATGTACAGCCAGAATACTCCTTAGAAGTGAGGATGGTGAGACTTCATCTCACTTACCTTGGACATGTTATCAGGAGGGACCAATCTCTGGAGAAGGACATCATGCTTGGCAAAGTAGAGTGTCAGTGAAAGAGAGGAAGACCCTCAATGAGATGGATTGACACAGTGGCTGCAACAGTGGGCGCAAGCATAGCAACAATTGTGAGGATGGTGCAGGACTGGGCAGAGTTTTGTTGTGTTGTACACAGGGTCACTATGAGTCGGAACCAGCTCAATGGCACCTAACAACAACGACTGCACAACTCTCAATATGCTACAACGCATTGAATCATGTACTTTAAATGGGTAAGTTATATAGTATGTGAATTATATCAAAACAAAGCTGTTTTTTTAAAAAAAGTTGCTCCATTTTGTATTCCTGCCTGCGAAGTATATTAGATTGCCCACTTTAATGTTCATCAACACAAACTACCAAATTGGCCAATTTCATAGACTAGAACAGTGTGGTTCAACCACGGGAGATTATTCCTGTCAGAGAACGTTTAGCGATGTCTGTATAAATTATTGGTTGTCATGACTTGGGTGGGGTCAATGTTACTAGATTCTAGTGGGTTATAAACCAGGGATGCTGCTAAACATCCTACAATACATAAGAAAACCCCCCACACCAATCAATTATGCAACTCAAAATGTCGACAGTTCCAAGGTTAAGAAGCCCTAGACTAGAAGCAGCATCTTGTTTTATTTTCTGTTTCTTTGAATACTAACAAGGGTAAATGGTTTCCTTATGTTTGCTAATTAGTTGTATTTCTTTCTTTTTTTGTGTGTCAATTTTATGGTCATAGAGTTAGTCCATATATCTGTTTGTCATGGATTGAATTGTATCCCTCCAAAATACCTGTCAGCTTCGCTAGGTCATGATTCCCAGTGCTGTATGATTGTCTACCATTTTATCATCTAATGTGATTTCCTTATGTGTTGTAAACTCTACCACTATGATATAATAAGATGGATTAGCAGCAGTTGGATTAATGAGATCTCCAAGATTAGATAGTGTCTTAAGCCAGTCTCTTTTGAGATATAAAAGAGAGAAGAGAGCAGAGAGACAGGGGGACCTCACACCACCAAGAAAGCAGTGCCAGGAGCAGAGCATGTCCTTTGGACCTGAGGTTCCTGCGCTGAGATGCTCCCAGACCAAGGGAAGACTGATGACAAGGACCTTCCGCCAGAGCCAACAGAGAGAGAAAGCCTTCCCCTGGAGCTGGTGCCCTGAATTCGGACTTGTAGCCTACTGGACCGTGAGAGAATAAACTTCTCTTTGTTAAATCCATCCACTTGTGGTATTTCTGTTACAGCAGCACTAGATGACCAAGACACTCTCCAGTTTATATGAGCTGTTCACACAAATAAAGATGTTAAATCTTCTAGTGGTTGTTGTTGTTATTGTTTTATTTATTGAGTTTATTTTCCTCTAGTTGTTTTCCTTTAAAATTTTGGTTAAGTTTATACTGACCATCAAAATGTTTATTGTTTATGTGGTTCAAACCTACTGTTTTTCCATTGTATTTAAGCCTAGAAAGTTCTTGCCCTACCTATCTACCTACCCCTCTACCAATAATTTCATTTTTATTCGCTTCTGTTTTTTTGAAGTTTGTCTTTCCACATTTAACTCTTAAAATGCGTTTAGAATTTATGATAATGTGTATTATGAGGTAAGGACTAATTTTTTTCTAACTAGTAATGCCTGGTTTTCCTCCTTTTGAAGAAACAAGAAACAGCTCGCTTCCAAGAGCGTTGTCCAGGCCCAAGATTACCTTCAAAAGGGAAGTTTTCTACAGGTTCATGCAAGCTAGGGACTGTGCATTTACTCCTCATATACTTTAACTATGACATTCCATAACGTAGTTAGATGTTTATAACTCACCTAACTAAGGACGCGTAGTAGTTACAGATACCAACATGTCAGTCTTACAGAAATATATAAGAATATGTCGGAGCTAAAAATGGAAATCATTTGCAGTTTGGGATTAGCAATTCTTAAAATGAATTTTCTTATATGGTCTGAGAATTGGGGAAACGTGCGTGCGTGTGTGTGTGTGTGTGTGTGTGTGTGTGTGTGTTTGGTAAGAAGGAGAGCACAATTTCATATCAAGATATTAAGAATGTAAGTTTATAACAATACAGGAGTTTTATCTTCTTATGAGTTAAGTGAATGAATGGGAATAAGTGTGGATATCTTCCTGTTATACAGATGGAGAATGAGTTAGATTCTGCTCGTTCTGAAATAGAACTCCTCAGGAGTCAGATGACAAATGAGAGAATCTCCATGCAGAATCTAGAAGCTTTGCTGGTGGCCAATCGAGACAAGGAGTATCAGTCTCAGATAGCGCTTCAAGAAAAAGAATCTGAAATCCAGCTTCTTAAAGAACACCTTTGTTTGGCAGAAAATAAAATGTGAGTTGGTTAGCAATATAGTCATAGAGAGTTATATTTATTAAATATTTTGGTACTTTGTAAATTAGTAGAATTTTAAAACTAGAATTTAGATAATTTAGCCCCCATAATTTGCCATTACTGAAACGAGGACAAGAAATCTTGTCACTTGCCAAAGGTTCAGTACTTATTTCTAGTGTCTGTTTTTTCCTTATCTAAATTTAAGTTTAGCCATCTCTGTTGTTTCCAGCAGAACTCTGGATATAATAGAATGTCTGATCCGAAATATTGCCTTTAGGAAATATTACAACCAGATGAGAAAAAAGTTAAGCACTTCTGAAACCAGAAGAATTTCTGTATTTATGGACCCACCTGTTATTGCTACCTCGTCTTTCCATCGTCACATAGTATTTACTTATTCGTGGAGCCCTGGTGACGCAGTGGTTAAAGCGCTTGGCTGCGAACCAAAAGGCTGGCAGTTTGAACCTGCCAGCCGCTCCGCGGGAGAAGGATGTGGCAGTCTGCTTCCGTCGAGATTTACAGCCTTGGAAACCCTATAGGGTTGCTATGAGTTGTAATGAAATCAGCGGCAGTGGGTTTGGTTTGGTTTTATTTCCTTGTTTACATATAAGTGTGTGCTGGGTACCTGGAAGAATTCCCGCACTCACAGAATGCTAAAGACTTCCCCAGTGCATAGATTTTGGCCTTTTCAGACTCCCCAGCATGATTAACACATTATCTCAGGACCCCTTGCTGGCGGCTTGGGTGGAAACGCCTGTTTAAATATTGAATGCTTTATTATTAAACTTGGTCATCTCTCACAAGACCCTTAGCCCCTGTTCTTATCTATGCCATCCATAACATGTTTTCATCCACCCTCAATTCTGCCCCCCAGTCTGAGCCTGGGACAAGAATCATGGTCTCAGGAATCAGCCACTGAGCATGGGAGCCCCTGACTCAGTAAAGGCTGCAGGGCTAGGCCCACTTTCCTCCAGAAACTGCTTTCAGGTTATGGCAGCTGTGACTGAGCTGCTAGGATACCTCAGCTGGTTCTGCAGGATCAGTTTCTCAAGCTGGTTGGTGGAAATCTGCCTTGTAAAACAGGCCCAAACTCCCGCCCTAAGGGGGATGCGCTTTTCCTGACTGGCTAGTAAGTACCATCAGTTAGAACTTAACCGTAAGCATGATACACTTTTGTGGTTTTGGTCTCTAACATTTAGATTTCAGTAGTCTATCATGCAGTTCTGAAAGCCAGCAGAGGAAAGAAAGTTCTGTGCAAACAGCGTTCACTTCTGTCACTTTTTTCATTATGATAGTTTGCCTTATCACAGGGTTTTTGAGGCATAGTTTAGCCCCAGGGAGATCCTGCTAAATTAAAGAGTTTTTTTTTTTTTAATGTTTTTAACAGTGTATACATCAAATTTCATTATAAGTATGTATGACCAACTTGGTTGACTATGTGTATATATGTCTATATATACATACGTGTATATGTATGTATATATACACATATATATATCAGACCATACTAATCATGGTGCTGGTGAATTCCAGTTCTAATAATCATACTATTTTGCATTTATATAATATTTCAAAGTACTTTTATAAAAATGATTTGCAGTAGATAGGATAGATAATTTTACTCTATCCACAGATGGGGAAATTGAGACAGGGTTTAACTGAGTGACTGTGACGAGGACTGCTTAGGCTTCTCAGCTAGGCTGATTTGCACATTTACTACATCTGAAAATGGTATATTTTAGATGTACTAATGCATCTATATGTACAAATCATGATTTGGCTCAAATCCAGCTGAGAAACCATTATAATACAGGTTACTGTAGGAGTCATAGCCATATTTTAAGTTAAATCAACTGTCTGCTATCCTTTCTTCACACAGGGCCATCCAGAGTAGAGATGTGGCCCAGTTCAGAAATGTAGTAACGCAATTGGAGGCTGATTTAGATATTACCAAAAGACAGCTCGGAACAGAGCGCTTTGAAAGGTATGTTTATCTCCACATGATGTTTGGCCTGGAAAGCACTGTTTTCTAGGTAGCAATGGAGTTTGCTTACTTTGTGATGGTTCTATTTTAAAGAATGATTTGGTCTATAGCTTTTTACAGTTTTAATAATGTCACTGAACATAAAATTTAAAAGCATCACTATTTTGCTTCAGGGAGAGAGCTGTACAAGAACTTCGCCGCCAAAATTATTCAAGTAATGTATATCATATGAGTACTTCTCTAAAGCCAAATACCAAATGCCATTCCCCAGAACGTGCTCACCATCGATCTCCCGACCGAGGCCTCGATCGATCGTTGGAAGAGTAAGTGGCTTAAAGCTCCGTTCTTTTTGGATCATATAGCAATGTAAACAGTGACTATTTGGGGAAGTAAGGAACTCAAGAAAACAGTATTATTAGTAGTGATGTTGAAACATAGTTACCTAGATATGTTGACATGGAAATATTTTGATAATTGCATTAGAGGCACATAGAAATAGCATAGTAAAGTGAAAGATCTGACATTTTATCTAATGTTTGTGTAAATTATATCTTAAAAGTCTGATTTTCTCTTTATTTTTACACCCTAAAACTTTTTCACGTGCTGTCATTATAAGATGTTGGTTAATTATTATAGCACCATAAAGTATATATGTGCTAGGAAAGTAAGAAGCTAATTTTTCAGAGGAAAATATTTTAAATATACTCCTGTACATGATAAATTAAAAAAAACTTATTTGGAGATAATTTCAAACTTAGTTATAAAAATAATACAAAGAACATCTGCGTCCCTTCACTCACACTCACTGTCATTAAAATTTTACCCCATTTGTTCTGGCATGCGTACATGCACTGTCTCACACACTCACGTGCTTCCACAGGCTCTCTCTACACACACACACACACACACACACACACACACACAAACGTTTAAAAAAACGTGTATGTCCCTTCTGTTTATTTGTTGAATCCCAGGATACATCTAAAATAGTTCGTTCCTTCACGCACGGCACAACAATAAACAGACCAACTTAAAGATCGTTCAGGATCTGTTTGCACTTCTTCCTTCGTACCCCACATACTACATTGCCCAAGACTTGAGGGTATGTAGTCAGATACCGCGTTTATAAATTACTTGGATTAGTTCTTTCCCCCCCACCTTTCGCTCAGTGGAAGAGCATTAGATTCATTTGTCACATTCATTTCCCCTTTCCTAGTCTTTATTTTATTTTTTGAATATGTAGAATACTGACATGCTTTCAAAGGTCAAAATTTGCAAAGAAGTAAAAATAATACTCAGAGAAGGGTCATTCCCTCCTGTATGCCTTCCATCTTGTCTGCATCCCTCCACCCTTTTCGTGTGTGTGTGTGTGTGTGTGTGTGTGTGTGTGTGTGTGTTTTATAATAAGAAACAGATAAAGCTTTTTTCTTATTTTCCCCTTCTTCCTACACAAAAGGTAGCACACTATAAATGCTCATTTTCACTTTCTTTTTTTCACCAGTGGGTTGTACGGTCAAGCTTTGGAATTTTTGTCGATATGATGGGCAGTATTTCAGTGTATTCATTCAATGAAATGGGATTTCAGTGTAGTTTTAATTTCTGTTTCTCCTGTTATGAGTGAAGTTGAATATCTTTATATATGTTTCAGGCCATTTTTATATCTCTTTCTGAATCGTCCATTCATTTCTTTTGCCCATTTTTCTAATGGGTTTTTGGTCTTTTTTTCTTATGGTAAAAGAATATATATAACAAAACATTTGCCATTTCAAATTTTTTTACACGTACAGTTTATTGACATGTTTGTCGTGTTGTGCAACCATCACCACTATCGATTTCCAGTTTTTTCCATCACCCTCACAGAAACTCAGGGCTCCCTGGGCGATGATTCTCTTTGCCCCTCCTTCCCATCCCTAGTAACCACTAATAAACTTTGGTTTCTATACATGTATCTATTCTAGATAATTCCATGTAAGTGGGATCATACAATATTTGTCCTTTGGTGACTGACTTATTTCACTCAGCATAGTGTGTTCCAGGTCCATCCATGCGGTAGCATGTATCAGGACTTCCTTTCTCTTGATGGCTGAGGAATATTCAGTTGTACATATATGCCATATTTTGTCTATCCATTCATCTGTTGAGGGACATTTAGGTAGTTTTCACCTTTGGCTATTGTGAGTAGTTCTGCAGTGAACATTGGTGTACAAGTTTCTCTTTGAGTCCATGCTTTCAATTCTTTTGGGTATATACATAGGAGTGGAATTGCTGGGTCATATAGTAATTTATGTTTAACTTTTTGAGGAGTCACCAAACTGTTTTCTACAGCATCTGCACCATTTTACAATGGTGCAGCAATGGATGCAAGTTCCAGTTTTTCCACATCCTTGTCGACTGTTGTTGTTTTCTGCTTTTCTGATCATAGCCATTCTAGTTGGGTTGAAATGGTATTTCCTTGTGTTTTTGATTTGCGTTTTCCTAATGACTCATGACATTGAGCATCTTTTCATGTTCTTGTTGGCCATTTGTGTATCTTCATTGGTGATGTCTGTTCAGCTCCTTTGCCCATCTTTTGATTGAGTTCTCTGTCTTTTTGTTGTTAAGTTGTATGAGTTCTTTATATATTCTGGTTATTAAACCCTTATTCGATATATGGTTCCCAAATGTTTTCTCCTATTCTGTAGGTTCTCTTTTCATTTTGTTGATAAAGTCCTTCGATACAGAAAAGTTTTAATTTTGACAGAGTCAAATTTATGTATTTTGTCTTTTGTTGCTTGTGCTTTTGGTGTCATATCTATGAATCCATTGTCAAAAACTGGATCTCAAACATTTCCCCTATATTTTGTTCTAAGAGTTTTATGGATTTAGTTTTTTTTTTTTTTATTGTACTGCAGGTGAAGCCTTACAGAACAAATAGTTTCTCATGGAACAGAAGTACACATGTTGTTTTATAACATTGGTTAACAACCCCGCAACATATCAACCCTCTAACTTCTCAACCTCTTTCTTTTTTTTGATGAAAATACACGTAGCCAAAGATACACCATTTCAAAAATTTCTACATGCACAGTTCAGTGACATTGACTATGCTCTTCGAATTGTGCTGTTATTCTCACTTAA